CAGCACCCGCTGTCAGCTGCTCTGAAGTGAGTGGCTATTTTTATTCTGGTGCGAGGGGATCTCAAGCAGCAGAGCCATGTAGGTTAGAGGCTCTAGGACACTCGGCCTCAGCAGGCCAGGGGAAACTTCCTGCAGCCACCAGACCCTGCTAAGCTTGCCCGGGGGCTCTCATTCCTTGCAGACTGACCTGCTCTGGGCTCCCATGCCTCCAGAAACTTCTTTACTGGAGCTCAGAACAGAGCATGGAACCAGATTAAGCCCTGGTCATGGTCCTGATCCTCTAACTTGAACCCTACTCTTGGTGTTGACTGAGCCCTAATTTTATGCCAAGACTGAGCCTCTACTCCAGCTCTTGACTGAGCTCTGACATCACCTCAGAATGAACCCTGACTCTAGTCACATACTGATCTAAGCCTGAATTAGGCTGATCCCAACTTGAGACCTTGGTTCCAGGCCCAGATCAAGCCCTTCTGCTACTCTAAGACTGAGCCTTAGTCACAGACTGAATTCTAGCCCCAGCCCAGACTAACTCTTGTTTTAGACTGAACCCTGACTCTGGCAGACGACCGAGCCCTAATCTTGGTCAAAGACTGAGTCCTGAGCCTAATCATTGACTGAACTCTGACCACAGACTGAATTCTGACCCTGGATCATGCAATTCTGATCACACACTGAGCCCTAACAGTAGACTGTGCCCTGAATCTGGTCACAGACTGAGCCCTGAACTTAGTCTTTGACTGAGCCATGATCCTGATCATATACTGAAGACTAAGCCCAATTATTGACTGAGCCCTGAATCTAGCCCTAGGCTATGGACTAGTCAACTAAGGACTGACTTAGACCCTGTCTGAGCCTGACCCCATTACAGACTAAACCCCAACCTCAGCCCCACCCGAGGAAGACTGCTGGCCTAAATTACATGCTGCTACATAAGAGTTATGGATTACGGGCAGAGATCTGTCTTGGGAGATCTTAGGCTTCCCATGCTGCTGATGCCAACATGTTCCTGGTACTTTTATGGTCACAGTCTCCACCGCTGGTTCCACTGGCTGTTTGGTCAACCCTCAGCAGGCCAAGCTGTGGCCTGTAGGGGCCACAGTATCCAGGCTAATGCAATGAGAGTGGCTTGGTGGCATCTGTCCAGCGAACAACCAGGGCCCATGGAGTACTGGGGTTTGGCTCTGCCGGCAGAAAAAACGACTCTGTGGGGCCTCTGGCTTTAGTCACTCTGAGGCCCTTGCTGGGGTAGGGGTTGGAGTAGAGGGAAATAGTGGGAAATGTCCCATTATTTTTGTAAACAAAGTTTACTGTTTGTGTTTAGGTAATCCATGCTCATTATATAAAAGACCGAAGGAAAACATTTACCTATAATTTCATCCACCAAGAAATAATCATTCTGACTTTTTGGATTGTTTCCTTACAGATATTTTTTTTGTTGGGGGGTCTAAGTGTATATATTTATATATGCATGTTGTACATAATATGCATATATATTTATAGACATGTATATTTACATATATGTTATATATTATATACATATATTTATTACTATTTTTTGAGACAGAGTCTCACTCTGTTGCTCAGGCTGGAGTGCAGTGGCATGATCTTGGCTCACTGCAACTTCTACCTCCTGGGTCCAAGCAATTCTCCTGCCTCAGCCTCCTGAGTAGCTGGGATTACAGGAATGTACCACTATGCCCAGGTAATTTTTGTATTTGTAGTAGAGACAGGATTTTGCCATGTTGGCCAGGCTGGTCTTGAACTCTTGGCCTCAAGTGATCCACCCACCTTGGCCTTCCAAGTGTTGGGATTACAGGCGTGAGCCACTGGCCTATACGTTTTATAAAACTGGTTGGTTACTGTCCAGCAACACAGTAGGGTTAAGATTAGGATCCTGTTAAAATTGCAGCCCAGCCAGCGCAGTGGCTCACACTTGTAATCCCAGCTCTTTGGGAGGCCGAGGCAGGTGGATTATGAGGTCAAGAGTTTGAGACCGATCTGGCCAACATAGTAAAACCCCATACCTACTAAAAATACAAAAAATTAGCCAGGTGTGGTGGTATATACCTGTAATCCCAGCTACTCGGGAGGCTGAGGCAGGAGAATTGTATGAACCTGGGAGGCGGAGGTTGCAGTGAGCCGAGATGGCACCATTGCACTCCAGCCAGGGCAACAGCATGAGGCTCCGTCTCAAAAAAAAAAAAAAAGAAAAAGATTGCAGCCCATCTTCTTAACAGGAATATGATGGACCCCACACACAGCTTCAGGAATGGGTTCCAGTTGGTTAAGCAGGTGAGCAATTCCCATTTCCCCAGGCACATGATTAGATCATGAATGGACTAGCGAGATATAAGGAAATTTTTGCTCGGGGCTTTTGGGAAAGAAAGCTTATTTTCTCTCTGAGGAGGTTGCCAAAAAAGATGATCTCCCCTCCATTTGATCTAAATGAAGAGGCCAATGGCTCTAGTTACTATTGGCAGCCATCTTGACACCATGCAGAAAATTGGTCTACTGATAAACTGACATTATGGAAAGCAGAATGGAGAGACACCTGGTTTTGGTGACTTCATTAGCTGGATCAAACCTCATCTGAAACCCTATCTGCCAATGGACTTTTTTTTTTTTTTTT